CACCTATCCTAACACCACAGGCCACTAAAAATAATAAGGGGCTACCTCACGTGGCAGCAGAACATCCATTCTCAATACTTTCTCCTCACCTCTCCCACAATTGTTCTACAGGTGTGACGTTGAGAGCATGGGCTATGGGTTCATGCCATTCCAAAGAATTAGCTGTCCATAATCCCTTGCCCCACTCTCCTCCAATTGAAGAAAACACATCATGAAGCAAAAGCATAAGTGACAGCACCAAGATAACACTGCATCCGTGCACTCTGGTTTATACAAACAAGCACATGATTCTAAATTTCAGTGCTGCAACTCTTAGCAGTAAAGCAAATGTATTTCTATTCATGTAGAGATGCGTGGCTAAGGCCTTGGAGGGAACCAGGTGGAGGAGAAGTGGGAATGGAGGAAGGGATGACATATCCATCCAAGAACCTGAGTATCAACACTTTGCAAATAAGAAATTTGGTCACGGCCACCTACTCATTAGCCCCAAGGTTCCAAACAGTCCTGCACTCCCTGTAACACAGAGAGGGAGTTCAGCATCCTCCCTTAGATCTGGAATTGGGTTCAGCTCCCTTAGACAGAACCATGAGGACTTCAAAATCTACTGCAAAGAAACTGATGTGCAGGAACCCGTGATTATACTGCACATAAGAAGGAAAGGGCTGTGCTAGTTAGCATTATATTTATAAAACTATGAACTTCCTATACAAGAGCACTTCAATCTCCTTACCTCTACCCTATAATGGACCTGCTTCCAATTTCTCTTCACACAGAACAGTTCAAATTGTTTTAGATCATTAGAACTTAGGTTAGTGAAATTCTAAATATCTAAATACCCCTGAAAGAATTACCTTGGTAGATGCAATCTCTGGTTATTGAGGATAAGAAACCATAATCAAATGTCCCTTATCTCTTTTGTATTTCTTGCTTCCATACAGAAAAAGTTTCCATGATTTTTCCTCTAAAAGGAAATTAAGTTATGGTAAATGGTGAAAACCCTAAACAGCACAAAAACCATCTCTAGGAAAAAGAAATACATTCCTAGTTAAGAATACAAATTCTGGCCAGGTGCAGTGGCTCACACCTGTAATCATGCCATTCCAAAGAGTTAGATGTCCATAATCCCTTGCCCTACTCTTCTCCATTTTAAGAAAACACATCATGAGGCAAAAGCACAAGTGACAGTACCAAGATAACACTGCACTTTGGGAGGCTGAGGTGGGAGGATCACTTGAGCCCAGGAGTTCAAGACCAGCCTGGGCAATATAGGAAGACTCCATCTCTACAGAAAAGTACAAAAATTAGCCAGACATGGTGACATACACCTGTAGTCCCAGCTACTAGGGAGGCTGAGGTGGGAGGAGTGATTGAGCCCGGGAGGTCAAGGCTGCAGTGAGCCAGGATTGCACCACTGCACTCCAGCCTAGGTGACAGAGTGAAACCCTGTCTCAAAATAAAAACAATAATGATAATAATAAATCACATTCTTAATCATCTTATCAAAACGAGTCATTTTTTCCTCTAGCATGTATGAAGTAGGATCTTCCTATAACACTAAATCACAGCTCAGTGATCTTTTAAGGAGGTAGTGATCATAAAGCTAAGATCTTAGACTTTGGCATGAAATAGACCAATGCCTTAAACCCTAGCTATGCTGCTTACCAACTGTGTGAACTCGGACAAGTTGCTTATTCTCTCTACATTTATGCTTCATCTGTAAAATAAGAAAAGTTCTAGCACCTACTTCAGATGACTGATGGAATCACTAAATAAGATAACGTACACAAAGCACTAAGCACTATGCCTAGCACACAGTAGGACCTCAACAAATGTCTACTGGTAGCACTAGCAGCATAATAGAAAAAACAGCAGTAGCAGAAGATTGCTCCCCAAACTTTATTTCACCTAGCTCCACTTTTGGACAAACATAAAAACCCCACTGGTAGTTATCCACCATATAGGTGTCTCTCCTCCCTTTCCTGGACAGAAGAGAGGACTCCACCTCCTACTCCCTTCAATTATGTCACTTTCAGTTCAAGGAATTAAAGAACCAATGTGGCATCTCCAGTCACTCTCTTCCCCTGCTGTAGCAACCTTTGAAACCATGCATCAAGATGCAGAAATCCTGGATCCTGAGTCACTGCACGGAAAAGACCTATCCCACAGAGTCACCTGACCTGCTTCATACTTTAGGCAAATAAGAAATAAATCTCTAATATGTAAATTCACTGAGATTTGAAGTTTGTTAGTTACTGCAGCAAAACTTACCCTATCCTGACCAACAGATACTCCTATACTTCTAAAAGGGATCCTAATATACTTCCAAAAAGAGAAGACAGTCTTTTTTTAATAACTTGTTTTTTGTCAATCTTTATATTTTTTACTTTGTAAGACATCATATTGCAAGTAAACTGACTTTTCAAAATCTCCATACTTCTTCCTCATTTTACATTTTTTAATCTAAAAGAGAAAATTGCATTTTACTTGTATTAAATATACAGATTAATACTGGAGCTTTCACTGAGTCATATGTCACACAGTCACATTTCACCTACAATACCAAGGTATCCTGTGATCACAGTACAGACCAGAATAAGAAAGGGATAATGGAAGTGCCCTCAAGCATTCACACACTCCTAGCTTATGGCAACATGAGACAGTTAAGTGGAATTATGGATATCACCTATTCTAAACTGAACTAACCCTCATGAAATGGACAAGTGGCGCAAAATGTTTTTAATAAAAGTGAAAAAGGTTTTATATGTCACTAAAATGTATCTCAGTGTATTATTTTGCTCTATCTCATCTACATTTAACTCTTTGTTGATGTCATAGAAGACACATAATACATTGGCAGCATACCGCATCCTGTAATTTATAAATAAATATACATGTATAATTGGGGTCTGTGCTCAAAGATAAATTTAATGAAAGAAGCATGAGATAAGTCACTTTGGAGCTAACAGTTTAGAGCAGAGCTTTCAAACTTTTTGTCCCTGTTTGCACCATTCCTAAACTGCTTTAACCATTTTCCAAAAAATTAAAATGAAGAGAAAACCAGTATAAAACTGGGGGAAAATGTGCATTGTAGAAACAGGTTCATAAAGACTTTATGAACCAGCAAAATCAGAAAGAAGCAGAAATGATACTGAAGAGCATCATTTTAGAGTGAAGAACAAAGCTTTTGGTTCCAACTATGAACCAAAAACTAGCTTTGGCTCTGTTAGATAATCAAAAGGATAAGGTGATTGTTTTCTACACATAGAAGAAGGACAAAAGGCAGATTTTCATATAGATCACAAATGCTTCTACAGGCGCTTAAACTCCAAAGGAGAAGTTGCCAGGGAAACAGTTAGGAGGGTCAGCAGATGACTCCAAGAAAGGCAGAGCACTTCATTAGACCAACATCAAAGCCAGTAACTGGAAAATCACTTGTTCAGTCAACTTAGAGTTATGTCAATTTCCTTCAGAAAGTTAAATAATATCTGGGAATTTTTGAGCCATGTGGTATCACATTCCCTATGCCCCAGCTCTTAGCACTTCTATAAGCACCAACTGCAGATGAAGCTGGGGTCAGGTGTGCAATCCCAGAACTTTGGAATTACTCCTTGAAGCCTGGAGTTCAAGACCAGCCTTGGCAAAATAGCAAGACCTTGTCTCTACAGAAAAAATAATAATTTTAATTGGCAGGCTGTGGTGCTATGTGCCTGTAGTCCCAGCTACTCAGAAAGCTGAGGCGTAGAGGATCATCTGAGCCAGGAGGTCAAGGCTGCAGTGAGCTATGATCAATATCACTACACTCCAGCCTGAGCAACAGAGCAAGACCCTGTCTCTGAAAAAAAAAAAAAGGAGAGAGAGATAGAGTGAGAGATATGAAGCTGGAGTTTAAATCCAGGTATGTCTGATTCCAAAGCTCTTATAAAAATAGCAGCATTTTAGGAAATAGAGTAGGCATTAAAAAAAAAAAAAGAAAATAGCAGCATAAAAAAACAAGCCTGACAGAATAGGTAGGATTTGGGAATGAAGACTGGCTGGGATTGAAAGAGAGGTGGCAGGAAAAGCAGGTGCTGAGAAGGCCACCAGTGGAAGGGAGCAGCAAGAGCAAGGGCATGGCAGTGCAAAACCTTGGGTGTGTGCAGGAATTACCAGGCAGTGACGCAGAAAGCACAGATGTAGAGGGAGGTGGCACAAGAAAAGGCTGGAAATGTTGGCCCAGGCCTTCTGGTAGAAGTGCTATGGGCTCAGTCAAGAAGGTAGACTTTATTCTGGAGGCAGTGAGTAATCACTGAGGGCTTTAAAGCAGGAAAATAGCATAACTGCAGATAGACACCAGGAACCTGTTCTTCCTGTGGCATGAAGGATGGATCAAAGAAGAGTATGAAGGTGACTTGCACATAGTTGATAATTAATTAATGCTGAATGGATGAAGGCAAAAACACCAAGTTAAAATTTATTGTGTATCTCTAACAAAGCAAACCCATTTGATCCAATTCCATTTCATATTGTTCAATTTGCTACTTAGAGAACAAACTTCACTCATTCTAGAAGGAAATAATGGTGCTGGTGCTTAAAAATAAAAATCAATTCACCAGTCAAATGTGGCCCTCTAAATGTTGCCGTTAAAGTGTTTGTTCTTACAGAAATTAACATTTTCTTCTTCTATTCAGAAGGAGGTACATCTGAACAGCTGTTGCAACTGCTGAAAAAGAAAACAAAATTAGCCAAGTACAAAAGTTAGGCAATGAGGAGTGATCCTCCCCACCCCACCCCTCTCCCCATCTGCAACCATGTGAAAAGGTTATTGGAAAATAAGGAAATAACAAGCTGTAATGGTATATTTCCTATGCTCTCTCATAGTGTCCAAGTCAAACACATACTAAGCCATAACCTTCTTGATGATGCCAAACTTTCTTCTGCACAGGTCGTGGTACCATCTGCAAAGCATCAACTACTCAGTGAGAAGCCAAGGCTGAAAAATACTGAGATGAGTCATGACCTACCTGATTTTCTTCATGGGAAACCCTCATCTGCTCCTTGAGGACAGACATCCGCGCTGCCTCTTCTTTCCTCAAGACTCTCTCCTTCTTAAGCTCAGGACTCCAGAAAGTCTTAATACTGTTCATGGAAGATCCCAACTTGCTGTCCTTGATGTCGAGCTCTTTCCGGAGGAGGTCATTCTCTCTCTGCAGTTCTTTCAGCTGGGCCTGAAGATCTAACATTGTGCTGTCTCTTACCTGCCTCAACATGGAGGGGACCTGGTGGTGGTGATGATGGGATGAGCCAGTCAGCCCACCATGTTGATCTGTGTATGAAAGGACATCTGTGTGGGAAAGTCCAGCAGAAGCAATATTGGGACTACTCCCCATGGCTGTGACACGGCCTCCATATACAGCTCGATTCGTAGCCCTTCCCAGAGTCATAGTGCCCTTTGGGTAAGTTGTTGAAGCCACCCCTTCATGATCACTCAGATACATGGGTCCAGACGTAGCATAGGCTGCATTGAGGGACTGGATATTCTCCATAGACAGAGTCTTGCCTGTTCCTCCACCTCCCCCGCTACTTGTTCTTCGGTGGCCCAAACGAGGAGACCTTGGCAAACGAGGGGATCTGGAAGGGCTACCTTCCAGATTGGTGATTGTTCTTGCACTTCCATACATTTTTCTTGTATTATGAGGTGTTACTGAAGAGAAGAAATGCTATACTAAGTTGGGGTTTGAGCTAATATTTCCACGATTGTCCAGAATTTTCACCGCATTCTTTTCACAGTCCGTACCAGAAAATAACTCCACTCAAAGATCTACAGAGTGAAAAAAAGAATAATTAAAAACAAAATTCTTTAGAACTCTAACTGTATATTTTTAAATATATAAATAAAGATAATAATAGATGAACCTATGTAGATAGGTGATTAATAATAGACAGATAGAAAGAGCCACACCCATAATGTTCATTTAGAAAGAAAAGCAACTCTAAAACTTTACTACTACAGGTGAAAGTTTTATAAATTCCCCCCACCCTGCCCCTAAGCAAGATAAAAATTCTCAAAGTGAAAAATAAGGTCTATTCCTTAGGAAAATGAAGCTCTCAATATTGGTTTGTGCTAAGGTTAGAGTTGGAACCTCCAGAAAATTCCCACGGAATTCCCCATCATGGAGACCTTAGCTATAAAAAGACCCCTCCTTTGGGGCATAACCCCCATACATATGTGGCTTGAAAGTGACTCTGAGAAGCTGCTGCTTCCTGGGATGTCAAATATTTGGTATTCATGTTGTTACCTTCGCCTCCTGTACTCATTACAAACATCACTAATCTATCACAGTCCTCTTTTCCACAGGTTCAGAATTCTTCTCAACACAACACTCTAGATGGCTTACCACTAATCAACTGGCATTGACACATGAATTCAAACCTACTGGCTATCCTGGAGTTAGAAGAAAAAGAGGTGACTCAACCAATGGGATGCCTAAACACATAGCCAGATCCTCAATGATATTACCAGAGAAAACAACAGTCCTATCTCATTTCCCTTTCACACATATCTTTCAGGCTGTCCTCTTGAGAATTATTTCCCATTTCAGTTGACCTTAATATTCATATTAACCACTTCATGTCTGTACAGAAATGGCAAAGGAGAAGAAGTTCCCATCATGGTTACTGAAGTATATTAGTGAAGATTTTATGTAGCTGGGGTTACAGCATTGTGAGTATCCCTTCAATTTTAGCACCCATATGGCCTTAATGGGGTGCATTATGGCCTCCTGTTCTTCCTCTCAGGAAGTCTTTACTGTATTTTATTTTTCTTCAGCTTTACAACAATAAGAGATCTTACAATACCATCTAGTATTGTAAGAAATAAGATGATGTTTATAAAACACCTAGTTTTGTGCCTAGTATCAAATAGTCAATAAATAAATTTTGAAGGTAAGTGTCTCAATGAGATAAGTACATTAATAGCAATATACAGGGGTATCTTTTATTTTCACCTGCCTATCATTCATCCCTTTCCCCTCTCCCAAATACACACTTTCTGATAATACTGTCACTATTTTCCTTAGAGACATTGTTCCAAACCCGCTATTCACAGTTCATTGGGTTTAGGTAAGGTTGACTCCCTCCACTCTACCATCCTGGATGGTGCAAGGGGTGAGAACATGACCCACACCTGGTCAACCATCATATTGTATCTTCCAGACATGGTAGCTAGTTTAGTGATGGGCATGTGACCCACATTGGTCCAACAAGACTCCATACTATGATTCTAGTGGGAACAGCTGGGAAAGATAAGCTCTTCTTCAGCTGGAATTCCTTACTTTCAAGATAGAGCTGTGAGTATTACAATGTGGAAAGGGCCTCCCTGAGGGTGAAGAGAATACAAAGGGAACCAGAGCTAAACTTCAAAGAGTGTGAAACCAAACCAGGTGACATCACTTCATACTCCAGATCCAGGAGTCATAGAAGTTATCATCATCTATCATCTATACATCTGTTCCTCGGCCATTTTAGTTACATATGCCAGGTGACTGATTGCATTAAAGCTCCCAATTTTTTACTCCTTTTTTAATGTATGTCTTGGCAGTGTTTTCCCAATGTGATGCTGGGTTCAGTCATGTGACTTTATTTGTCCAGGAAGGTGATAACAAATGTGAAGTAAGCAGATGCCTTAAGCAACACATATGTTTACTCTCTTGCACATTTTCCTCTACCATAGCAATTAGAATATTCCCAATCTAGCCTGATGGAAGATGAGAAATATAAAATAGAACCAAGTTGTCCTAGCCAACAGCCAAGCAGCCCCAAGATGTGTGAGCAAGCCCAGCCAAAGTCAGCAGAACTACCTAGCCAACAAGACACTGCCCACAGGGGCATGAGCGAGCCCAGCTGAGATCAACTAAACACCACACTTATGCACTTGATAAATGCTTCTTAGTATGTCACTGATGTTTTGTGGTTGATTGTTTTGCCACATTACAGGATCAATGGATAACTGATGCATTTGTCTATAAATTTCCTTTTTGCTACATTGAATTCTAGATGAGATTTCTGTCACTTACACTGACACATACAATATGAAAAAATGTTTTCTATAAAGGTTTCCCCTTTCCCTAAAGAGGTCTTTAAAAATTATACATCTGTTTCTAACTAAAGAACTTCATTTCAAATGTTTATGTTGCTCAGGGCTTAATTTTGTTTTTCTTGGAAATACACAAAAACCATTTTGTATCTAAGATTTTTACATGAATAATCTATAGTGTAAAAAAGAGGGGATCAATAGTTCTAACATAAGAATTCAGTGACATAAATGATGAGAGAGACAGTGGAATAAGGGAACAGGCAGTTATATGAATATTTAATAAGACAGAAAGATGTTCATGACATACTGGTGGCAGGGGGAGCAGACAACAAAACAATTTTGTGATTTACTCACACTGTTATAAAACACAGAAATACACACACAATCACCAGCAGAGAAGGCTGGAATGACACACATCAAAATGTTATCAGCGGTAGAATTCCAAGAGGTTTTCATTTTCTTTTCATTTGCATACTCTAAATTTTCTACAATTGAAACTGACCCAATTGTCCCAAAGAGCTGATGTTAATGGTTTCTTTGAAAAAACAGATAAATCGACCTCCCAGTTTTAAAACTTGAGAAAGTTGCATTTGTCTTATCTGAGTTCCTTTCTAAGGAAACCAACCATCAGGGCTCCCAGATAGTGTCAAGGGGCTCAAACTCACCAGATCACTGCATTTGGACAATGAGACGTCAGACCCCTCATCTGTCATAATTGCCTTGCCCTATCTGCTTCCTGTTGACCAACTCCTCTTCCTTATCCCTCTCTATTTCCTGTTTTTCCACTCATGATTACATTTCTTTCCTGCTATATAAACACTTATGTTAGTCAGTCAAGGAGATGGATTGGAAACTGATCTCCCATCTCCTCAGCTGCAGGACCTGATTAAAGCCTTCTTCTCTGGCAATACTTGTCTCAGTGATTGACCTTCTATGCAGCAAGCAGCAGGACCTGGACTGAACCTCTGGTGTTTTGGGAACATAATAATGATATATACTTTTGTTATTTAAAAAAATGATTTTCTTTCTATGGTTCCAACAGTTAAATGAATGTATCTTTTCTGTGCTTAGAATCTAGATGTCCAGGTTCTAACTGGGCCACCACTTACAGAGATGTCTTCCTAGAAAAAGTGATGAAACCTAACTTGTCTTCCTCTATCTGCTCCCTTTATATCTAGAGATACACATTTCTAGATAGATCTGTGACTAGGCTTGAGGTCCCTGAACACCATAAAATTTACACGCACACAGATGTAATCTTCAGCGAATTTACCTGCCTACCTGGCCAAGGCTTTGGAGAATTGCAATAACCAACAAACAGTTAGTTTGCTCCCTTTGGAAACACACACACATGTAACATATAACATGAAAAGATGTATTATCATATTTGAAATAATGTTTCCTTATTTAAAAAGCAATATACATTGCCACTGGCCCATAGATTTCTTGGGTTCTCCTTTTCTAGGTTTAATATCAGATGTATGCTAGTATCATAGATAGATTGAGAAGCTTTCCATTTTTCATATGTTCTGGAACAGTTAGCATAATGCCAGTCTTCTCGATTCCTGAAATGTTTTGTAGAACACACACATAAAACTGAATGGGCTTGGCAGGGCATGTTGACTCCTGCTGTAATGTCACCTACTGAGGAGGCTGAGGCAGGAGGATTGCTTGAGGACAGAAGTTCAAGACCAGTCTGGGCAATATAGCAAGACCCTGTCTCTAAAAAAAAAGTTTTTTTAATTAGCCCAGTGTGGTGGCATGTGCCTGTAGTTCCAGCTACTTGGGGAGAGTGAAGCAGGAGGATCACTTGAGCCCAGGAATTTGAGGCTACAGTGAGCTGTGACTGCACCACTGCACTCCAGCCTGGGCGACAGAGGGAGAGACCCAGTCTCTTTAAAAGAGCAAAAAAACACAGAATGAGATTAGTTGGTGATTATCTTTTAATTTTTTCACTATGTTTACTGGTCTATTTGGGTTCGCTACCTATTTTGTGTCAATTATCATTAAAACATCTCTTCACAGTCTATTCCACGTATATTTTTCAGTCTTATTGGCATTGCTTTGTATAACTTTTCTTTAAAAAATTTTAAGTCATCTTCAGTTATGTCCCCATCTCATTTCCAATGTTGTTTGTGTTTTTTCTATTTCCGTTGATGACAATACGACAAATGTGTCTCTATTTTCTTAGAGTTTCAATGATATAGCTTTTGGTTTTATTGATGTATTTTACTGCATCTTGTTTTCCATTTCATTGATATCTCTCTATCTTTAATAAAATTTCTACTTCCTTTATATTATTTTTGCCCTTTGCATTGAATGTTCATTTCTCTGTAATCACATTTCCTAATGAATGCATATAAGATTATACACATGGCTGCATATTCCAGAATTGTATGTATAAACCCTTACTGTCATTTGTAAATACCTTGCTGTTTTTATTTTTGAAATTTTTCTATCCCAGGAATTATTGAGAATAATATATGTAAATGTCAAAGTGGACAGAAATGTGGTAAAACTTTCTGGTTCACATTCTATAGCATTGGGATCATAAAATGTAACACATATATTTTCCAATCTTTGAAATTTGTCAAGACTTTCTAATTGGCTTATTCGTTTTCTTAAATATTAAAACAACTAATAGATTATTATAGAAAATTTAGAAAACACAAATATGCATAAAGCAGAAAATGAAAACACTCTCAATCCTGTCACTCATAGATAAC